AAAAAAAAAAAAAAGATTGAGTTTTTTTAAACTTTAATGGTTAGTAAGTTTACAATTTCCTAAATCAATTTTCCCTTCCTTTAAGTCATGAATTGCCTTATTAGTTTATTGCAGTACCCAGTGTGATGCTTTGTGACAGTGGATACTTAAGTAACCATAAATCAAATTTATTTTTTATCTTTGCTAGGAATTTGAATGTAGAGTTTAATTTCTCAGAAATTGTCTACAGGAAGCATTTTATAGCTTATCAAAGACTTCACTTGACTGCTTGATTCTGCATAAAGTTCAAGGTAAATAGCATTCATTTTTCTAATTTTCAATTTTGTCTTACTGTGGCTAGTAAAGGAATTATCAGACTAAGTGATTAAAAGGAATATATAGTGTGAAACCTTTTTGTGTTTTCGTGACTTTTACAAAGTAAGCCACATTGTCAGTTAGTTTTAGAAAAGTCTAGCACATCTGCTTCTAGATTGTAAAGAGTCACTTCTTCCGCTTCTGTAAACACAGCTAGTACAAGACGTAAAACATGCAAAGCTATTTAAAAATAAACATACTCTACTATTTAACCTATTTCTCTTAATTCAAACAGGAAGAGTTTCGTAACATTTCTTCCTTACGTTGATTCGTACTATAACAAAGCATTGTGTTAAGATGTACTAATTCATTTAGTCCTTTCAACAGTTGTAAGGAGGAGGTATGGTTATTTTATTTCTTCATTTTACAGATGAGAAAACTGAATCACAAAGAGGTTAAGGAATTTGCCCAAGGCCACACATCTAAGGCAGTGTATCTGCATAGAACCCTGGTGGCACAGTGGTTAAAGTGCTTAGCAGGAGAAAGATGTGGCAGTCTGCTTCTGTAAAGATTTATAGTCTTGAAAACCTTATGCGGCAGGTCTGTACTATAGAGTTGCTCTGTGTTAGAATCGACTCAGTGGTGGTGACTTTGGTTTTGGTTCTTCTAACTGCAGAGGCCATATTCTTAGCTTCTTTTAGCTAAGTATGTTTTTGTAAGAGAGCAGGTAACTATTTGGTAGTTATGCTTTCCTGCCACTCTTTGTAAAGTATTATTAAAAAGCAAAAACAAAAAATCTCAAATCTTTAAAAATACACTTGCAGCTCTAAACAGATACCCAGTTTCTGGGAATTCGTTCATTCAGCAGTTACTTACTGAATACCTGTTCTACCTATGTACCACCAGCTATGCTCCATCCTACAATGTATCGGTGAACAAAAAAAGACAAAAAGCATTGTCTTGTCTTGTATCAACTTTCAGACTAATAAAGAGCCCATAGCTAATGGTGCCATATGTAATGCCAGATAATGCTGTAAGAAGTATTTGATGGGTGCAGTCTTAAGAGTTTATTTTCTTAACCCAAGAATCTGTTAATAATAATCTTCATTTTTCTTTCTAGTCCAACCAAGATTTTCTGGACTGGAAAACCTAGAATATATTTGAATCACCCACCAGAGATTACTTTCAAAAAGATAAGAGTAAAAATGAGAGCAGAGATTCTAGAGATATATGCATAGCACAGCAGCTGTAATTGTTTAGTAAGATGGTATTTTTTCCCTTACTAAAATGAATTTCAGTGAAAATAAGCTTTGCCTTTTCCTGAGATCTCAAATCATTTGCAGCTCTAGGGTTTGTGTGTGTGTGTGTGTGTGTGTGTGTGTGTAGTATGTCCACTTTGAGTTGGAGAAAATCAAATTGTTGATATAAATTGAGTTATATGGAATGTAAATTATGTACCCACTGCCATCA